AACAGGCAAAAGGAAACGAGATAGACCCATAGTTCCTTTTGATGATCTGCATAGAGTTACTTTCTGAGTTGATTTATGCATGTCAGTCCGTCTGTCCGTCCGTCCGTCTGTCCATGTATTTTTGTGAACAAAATGCAGGTCGCATTTATTATCCGATTGAGATGAAATTTTGCAAACAACATTTGTTTGGCCCAAGGACGAACCCTATGGAAATTGGAGATAATCGGTAAAAATTTAGATATATCTCCCATATATATCTTCGTCCGATTTGCCTTTTATTGTGCACCAAACGTGTAATATCAGCCCGAATAGTATGCAATTTTGCACATACAACCAAATTAGGCCTGAAAATAAGTATGCCAAATTTTATCGAAATCGGTTCAGATATAGGTATAGCTCCCATATATATTGTTCATCCGATTTGTTATTTTTGTCCTCCGCAGCCATAATATGCACTCTGTAACAACAATATTTGGGGAAATATATCAAATACAGCTCAGAAATATCTTTGCTAAATTTTATCGAGATCGGTTCAGATTTGGATATAGCTCCCATATATAACTTCGTCCGATTTACCTTTTATTGTGCACCAAACGTCTAATATTTGCCCAAACGGAATGAAATTTGGCACTTACGACCGAATTGAGTCCAGAAGCTAGTATGTCAAATTTGGTGAAGATCGGTTAAGATATAGCTATAGCTCCCATATATATTGTTCATCCGATTTCTAGTATTTGTTACTCACAGCCGTAATATGCACTCTGTAACAACGATATTTCAGGAAATATATCATATACAGCTCAGAAATATATTTGCAAAATTTTTTCGAGATCGGTTCAGATTTGGATATAGCTCCCATATATATCTTTATCTGATTTTAAATTAATTTTGCACCAAATGGTCAATACAAGTCCGAATTTAAAAGATACAAATGCTTCGGCATACTTGGTCCTTTGAACTTTAAATTATAATTATAATCATAGCGTGTATGATTGAATCCTCCCATAAAAACGTTTAATTGTTATGTGGAGCTCTACTAAATTAGCAAAGTGGTGTAGTGTATCGTAAAGTCGGCCCCGCCCGATTTTAGGACTTTCTTTACTGGTTTAATTATGAAAATATAAAATTTTCCAACAAAACTTTCCAAGGATCTGAACCATCTTCCCTTTTGAAAAATTTCGGTCTTACAATTATTTCCGTTTCACGTATTGTCATGCTCTGGTCATGACCACTGTTAAAAATCGAATTCCATTCCACTGAAAATCCCAGCCTATGTTTCGTTTGTTCGGTATCATTTTTCAGTTATTTTTCTCTGCTACAGGAAATTAAAATGCAAATGAATAATAGCGAATTCAGTGAGATATGAAATGAATTCGAAAACGAATAAACATAGAAATACAATTTCCCAATATATTTCCTGATATTAAATACAATATTTCCATAATACGTGATGTTATTAACGAGGATAATGATGACGGTGATTATATTAACGAGATGATGATCCCAGGACCATCATTGCATAGAGGTTGACTGATTTATTTTGTGTGGGTGTGTGGTTCAGATCCTTGGAAATACCACACACCCACACAAAATAAATCAGTCAACCTCTATGCAATGATGGTCCTGGGATCATCATCTCGTTAATATAATCACCGTCATCATTATCCTCGTTAATAACATCACGTATTATGGAAATATTGTATTTAATATCAGGAAATATATTGGGAAATTGTATTTCTATGTTGGTTAATGATAATGTTTTATTTTCGAAAATAAGAAATTTCCTTAAAGTGGGAAATAAAAGAAGAAGAATTACACAAATAAAGTATATTTGGTTATGTTTTCAAAATATCCCAGAAAAATATAAAAAACCATTAAGGAACCGTGAATATATAAAGTATATTTGGTTATGTTTTCAAAATATCCCAGAAAAATATAAAAAACGATTAAGGAACCGTGAAAAGTCGGGCGGGGCCGTTGGTATAAAAAATATTTTTTATTTTCAGAAATTTTTTCCGAATTTTGATGGAAATTGTACCATTATAGGGAAGCTATGTCATGTTGATCCTCATTACTTCCACTTTATATGCAGAAGCACTGACTAAAGACACGGCCAGGGACATGTTTTCAAATGAGGTTGGGAACAAGACTTTGTTGATGTACCGTAACATGTGAAGGCATACAGAGGCAGAGTGAACCATTGCCGGCCCTCCTTGAAGAAATCAACAAGAATAGTGTGCCATCTGGTTGTGGAAATGACTCGCTTTTCTGATGAGGAACTCGACGTTGCCGTCATACCCTTATCTTAAAAAATTGAGTCGAGCCAAAAAACCATTGGAATTATCCCAGTTTAATATCATCAAAATACCGAATATCGGGAGGTACTGTTATATGAGGGCTATACCAAAACGTGAACCTGCACAGACAATTTTTTGTCATAGGCTGTAGTATTCATTACGAACTTCAAATCTCAAATTGAAACAATTCCGATGAATAAGATCGCTTAAATCACCAAAATATCGAAAATAGGGAGGTACCGTTATATGGGGACTATACGAAGACTTTAACCTGCACAGACAATTTTCTCTCTAAGGCTATAGTATTTATTACGAACTTCAAATGCCAAATTTGAAACAACGCTGGTTAATAATGTCGCTAAAATCATCCAAATATCTAATATCGGGAGGTACCGTTATATGGGGGCTATACGAAGACGTGGACCTGCAGAGACAATCTTATGTCATAGGCTGTAATACCCATTCCGAACTTCAAATACCAAATTTGAAACAATTCTTGTGAATATTGTCGCTAAAATCATCAAAATACCGAATATCTGGAGGTGACGTTATATGAGGGGCTAAACCAAAGCGTGGACCTACATGGCCCATTTTCAATATACCAAAAGTCCTGCAGACATAATATGCATTTTGGTAAAATTTTATCAACCTACTTCATTTCGTTCATTTCGACATCGCTAAATCGACATAAAATTTTATGCTGATCAAGAATATATATAGCTTGTGGGGTCTAAAGTGTATCTGTCGAGGTGTTACACACGGAATGACAAACTCGAAATACCCTCCATACTATGGTGGAGGGTATAAAAAGGGGGAGCCCGAGATAATTAATGCCTCGCTGGCTCCGAAGGATACCGAACCTACTTCTGGTCTAACAATGAATAGTGGATTGTCCAGGAAACTAACTGCAGGTCAATGCCGCCTGCCACCATCTGCGTTTTCAACCCCTACCGTCAACAAGGGAATTGTGACTGGTCTTGTCCCTAAAGGCCCTAGGCCTAATAAAGGCAAAAACAAAACCACCAAATTTCAATCCTCAAGCCAAAGCGGCAGCAGGAGTCTCAAGACCGTCGGCATGGGTTCCACCAACCTTGGGACGGACAACTGGCGAAAAGTCAGTTCAAGTACGGAAGGTAGGGGCCTGGTAAAGTATGTATCGACACCGCTGGCCAGAAATATCTTCAAGAAGGTGGGGGAAAATTGCACTTCGGAACGGAATGGATTTGACTCCGTCTAACGCCGCTGTAGTAGCATAAAGGAAGCAACAGCTATTTAGCATCATGCAGATTAATCTGCATCACATCAAAAAGGCTGACGCCGAGCTTATGATATCCCTCACGAAGGCTGAATTTGACATAGCTCTAGTCCACGAAACTTATGTCTACAAAAATAAAATGTCTGGGCCGGGGAGTTATCGGTACATCACGTATGTCACCTCCAACGGAGATTAGGTAAGGGAGTGTATCGACGTTAAGAAGAATTTAAACTTAATCTTCCCTAATAATTTTAGTGGAGGAGATGCTACGGCAGGGAGAATGGAGACGTATTCCGGGAGAGTTATAATCTTAATCTCTATTTACCTGTCGCTTGAGCACCACGGCCCTCCAGGCCAAGTAGAAACTGTTAACGAAACTAGGAAACAAAGGTAATTTCATTATTAGATGTGATTCCAACTCTCCCCATTTTCAATGCTGCAGTAAGGACACACATGCCGGAAGTGAGTCCATTTTTGATTTTATTCCTAAATATATTATTATCCTCCACCATAGTATGGAGGGTATATTAAATTTGTCATTCCGCTTGTAACACCTCGAAATACACATTTTAGACCCACAAAGTATGTATATTCTTGATCGGCATAAACTTCTATGTCGATTTATCAATGTCCGTCCGTTTGTCCGTCTATCCGTCTGTGGAAATCACTCTAGTTTCCGAACGAAATGAAGTAGGTTGACAAAATTTTACTCAAATATGTATTATGTCTGCAGGACTTTTGGTATTGAAAATGGGCCATGTAGGTCCACGTCTTCGTATAGCCCCCATATATCGGTACCTCCCGATATTCAGTATTTCCATGATTTTAGCGAATTTATTCACCGGAATTGTTTCTAATTTGAAGTTCGAAATAGATACTACATCCTATGACAGAAAATTGTCCGTCCAGGTCTACGTGTTCGTATAGCCCCCATATAACGGTACCCCCGATATTCGGTATTTTGATGATTTTAGCGACATTATTTATCGGAATTATTTTACATTTTGTATTTGAAGTTCGTAATGGATACTACAGCCTATGCCAGAAAATTGTCTGTTCAGGTCCACGTTTTATAACCCCCATGGTACCTCCCTATATTCGGTGTTTTGATGATTTTAGCTACATTATAAATATTTTTTTTTCAGGTTTCGCATTTGAATATTGTAATAGCTTGTGACAAAAGTTGCCTATGCAGGTCTACGGCGTCATATAGACGCTAATATACAGCTATATTCGGTATTTTTAAGATAATAACAAAATTTTTAATGGATTTTATTTTTTTGAAAATTGCCAAATTTGCACCATATGATGGAGGGTATTCAAAGTTCGGCCCGGCCGAACTTACAGGTTTTTTATTTTTTTTTATAAGAACTTCAAAGATAATATTAAGAATTTCATTTTAAAGAATTTTATTTACAAAATATTAAGATCGAAATAAAACAAAAACAATAAGGTAAGTACTTTAATACAAACTTTGTAACAAAAATTAGTCATTTAAAAGTCCAAGGCACCGCGATTCAAAAGCCATGGCAGTATGACATTGACATGTTGGATATAACGTTTATTGGTGAACATCATCAGCTTGAATTTATCGCCATCATCACTGTCACCCAAAAAGTTGTCAAATGTGGACATTTCTGAAGAATCCAGTAGGGCAACAGCCAAGACACCAACTGTGGTGCAATAACCTGAAAAAACAAAATTGAAAAAATATCAATAAATTTAAATTTCTACTTCTTTTACAACTAATTTACCCCAAATCCGATATTTATGCAATAGAATATGAAGTTCTTTAAGCGTTGGCTTGGCCTTTGGATATTTAAGTAATTCTAAATTTTCCACCAGATTCTCATGATAATATTGGATCAAATGGTCAAATTGTTTAATTTTGATATCAGCTTGCAATGATGAGAGTATAAAATAAATTAAATCCTGGGCAGGACTGCCATATTTAGGCATGGCAAGATCTACAAAATAGGTATCCAACAATTGGCCCGCCTCGCCATATTGGAACATAATATTGTTGGTCCAGCAATCACAGTGATTCAAAACATTGAAATCCGCATCATCCACCTTGGTTGCCTTCCACAGCTCATCGATGACTGAGTTTAATAGTTTTTCCTAAACGAAAAAATTAGAAGTTTTTCAAAATATTTTTTAAATGTGGTTTCCTCTTCCTTACAATTTTCTCCTTATAATCCTCGGAATTTTCATACAAATGCAAGCAGCGCAACATGTACTTGGTCATGCCCTCAAAGAATGTCGTAATGCCTTTGCGCAATTGATCGTTGTAGGCCCCAATGATTAACGCCTCATCATATTTTCCAATATTTTCTTTGTGTACCGCCGATACGGCATGCCATTCGGCCATTTTCTTAAGTACCTGTTTGGCATGTTTCATATCGAGGCACTCCAAACGATTGGCATTCTTAAAGTTGCGTTGACACAAATCCTCCAACAGCAGATGACCTCGGCTAATGGGCAATTTGTAGTATTTAGCTCCAAAGCTGATTTCTTTGCCAGCCTCATGATATAGTTTTTCAAAGGCCGGAATAAGTTCCTCATACGTTACATGTTCGAATTTGAAGCAGTCAGCTCCCTCCGTTAGTTCTTTGTAGAGATCTGATTCATGCTCCGTTTTGAGAATAAAGAATTTTTTGACTGTGGAACCATCTGGGAATAGAAAGAGGGAATTATAGGGTCAAAAAGGGCTTCACACAATTATTAATATTAGTATTACGAAAGTAGAGCTTGAAGAGAAGTGTATTGACGTATTAATAGATAAATCAAAGGATCCCTCCTCTTCAAAGAAATTATTTACATTGAAATTCTACTATGGGTCCCAGAAATCATCAAAACTCTTGACTTCATATAAAATTATCCCACAAAACATCATTTTAGAAGGAAGTTCGGCGGTTCATACGATTTGGTGTTTGTGTCCCTTACATTCGCAATATCCATTCGACAACAATGATATTTCGTACCAGATATCTTATAGAGCTCGGAAAAGCCTCTGCCAAATTTTATGAAGATTGGTTCAGATTTGGATATACCTCCCATACACAGGGTGAGATAAAAAACTGCAACAAAGTCAAACGCCATAATTGCATCAATAGCATTTTAGAATAAGTTTAGATTTATACAAATTGGTCACGTTTGACATGAATTATAGCCTTCAGACGGCCAATGAAACCGTCACACGCTGAATGTTGCTCTGCGGTATTTTGGCCCATTCCCGACGAAGCGCTTGCTTAAGGCGATCGACACTTCGGTATTTTTTAGTGCCAACCTTACATTCCAAAATACTCCAGACACAATAGCCCAACGGTTTGGTATCCGGAGATTTCGGTGGCCATTTTGCGCTGGAAATGAAGAGAGGAACCTGTGTACCTATTGTAACTATTCTTGGGTGGCACGGGCTGAGTGCGATGTTGCTGACTCCTGTTGGAATGTCCAATGCCTGCGGCCAAAATGTTTGCGTGCCCAAGGCTTTAATACACCGTCCAGAATATTTTCGCGATAATATTCGGCATTTATTCTGATGCCACGGTCGATTAATATGAGCGGAGAGCGATCATCTGCTCTTATGGCGGCCCACACTATCACCATGGACGGCGCTTGAGTTTAGATTCTAAACAAAACAAATGGTGAAGAGAAAGAGAACAAGAGAGCAAGCTGATGTTTTTTTTATAGATGAGCGCAAAGTTTAAATGAGAATGGGCTCCCAAATGACGCTATCTTTTCTATGCTTGAATTTAGTTTTGTTTGTTTAATTGATAGATTAGCGATATTAGCTGTGTTCCGGTCCACGTAAGAATAATTTTAGACCCAACAAGGTATATATATTCTTGATCAACATCTTGATCGTCCGTTCGTCAGTCCTTCCGTCCGTCTGTTGTAATTACGATAGAGTAAAAAAGAATAGAGATGGGAAACTGAAATTTTTGCACCTATCTGCCTTTTGTTGCAGGCAGATCAAGTTCGCAGATGGGCCACGATATCGTATAGCGCCCATATAAATATACCACCGATATTCGGTACAAAGAGTTCTTTGTGACTACTTTACCACCTGGAAAAGAATTGTTTATAGGTCCACGATATGGTATAGCCCCATACAATGGTGCCCCCCGATATTAAGCATTTTGATGATTTTAGCCACATTTTTCAATAATATTGGCTTAAAATCCACAGAAGGAGTTCCTTCTGAGTACTTCATCCCCTGGAAGAGAATTGTCTATATATGTCCACGATATCGTATATCCCCCCATATGACTGTGTCTCCCGACATTCGGTTTTTTGATGATTTCAGTCTCATTTTTCAATGAAATTGTCTGAAATTTTACATAAGGAGTTCTCTGTGAGTAGTTTACCACCTGAAAGAAAATTTTCTATATACGTCCACCGATATTGGGTATTTTGATGATTTAGCCACATTTTTCAATGGAATTTGAATAAATAAGTACAGGGAGTTGCTTTATGAGTACTTTATCCCCTGGAAGAGAATTGTCTATATATATGTCCACGATATCGTCTATCACCCCATATAACTGTGCCTCCAGACATTCGCTATTTTGATAATTTTAGTCACATTTGTCAATGAAATTGTCTGAAATTCTACACAAGGAGTTTTCTGTGAGTAGTTTACCCACTGAAAGAGAATTTTCTATATTGGTCCACGATATCATATAGCCCCCATACAATGGTGCCCCGATATTCGGTATTTTGACGATTTTACCAATATTTTTCAATGGAATAGTCTGAGAATCCACACAAGGAGTTCCTTCTGATTCTTTTATCCCTTGATAGAAAATTGCCCATACAGGCCTACGTTTTAGTGTAGCGCCCATATAACACTACCCCGAGATATTCGGTATTTCCAGGATTTTCGCGAAATTATTCACCAGAATTGCGTCCAATTTCGTATTTTAAGTTCGTAATGGGTAGTACAACCTATGACGGAAAATTGTCTATGCAGGTACACGTCTTACAACGGTAGCTCCCTTTATTCGGTATTTTGATGATTTTAGCGTCATTATTCACCGGAATTGTTTCGAATTTCGCATTTTAAGTTCGGAATCGTTTCTACAGCCTATGACAGAAAATTGTCTGTGCAGGTCCACGCCTTAGTATAGCCCACATATAACGGTAACTCCAGATAATAATTTTAGCGACATCATTCACCGTTTCGAGTTTCGTATTTTAAGTTCGGAAACGTCTCTACAGCCTATGACAAAAATTTATTTATCCAGCACTACATCTCCGTATAGCCTCCATATAAAGGTTTTCATTTGAGCGGTATTTTTAAGCGGATTTTTTTTGTTGCAAAATGGTCAGGCTTAATCCCTTTATTGTTGTTTTTATAAAAAACAACGTTTGTTTATTAGTGGAACGATGGTAATGTTTACCAGGGGGTAAGGCAAGGAATACCTAGGTTTCGGAACGAGCCACCAATCCTATTCAGTTCCTTTGTTTTTTATACCCTACACTACATAGTGGTAAGGGTATTATGTCTTTGTGCATTTGTTTGTAACATGGAGAAGGAAACGAGATAGACCCATAGTTACTTTTGAGAACCTTCATAGAATCACTTTCTGAGTCGATTTATGCATGTCAGTCCGTCTGTCCGTCCGTCCGTCCGTCCGTCCGTCCGTCTGTCCATGTATTCTTGTGAACAAAATGCAGGTCGCATTTATTATCCGATTGAGATGAAATTTTCCAAACAATATTTTTTTGGCCCAAGGACGAACCCTATTGAAATTGGTGACAATCGGATCAAATTTAGATATAGCTCCCATATATATCTTCATCCGATTTCGGGTTAAATGTGCACCAAATGTCCACTATCAGTCTAAATTACCTGAATTTTGGCACACCCAACCGAGTTCGGCCTAGAAGCAAGTATATCAAATTTGGAGAAAATCGGTTCAGATATAGCTATAGCTCCCATATATATCTTTCATCCGATTTGATCTTTAAGTCCCTCACATTCCTACTATGCACTCCACAACCGTGATATTTGGTACCAGGTATTAGATGGAGCACAGAATTAGCTGTTTTAAATTTTATCGAAATCGGTTCAAATTTGGATATAGCTCCCATATATATCTTCATCCGATTTCGCGTTAATTGACCACCAAATGGCCAATATCAGCCCAAATGGCCCGAATTTTGGCACATGTGACCGAGATTAGCCTTAAAGCAAACACAACAAATTTGGAGAAAATCGGTTCAGATATAGCTATAGCTCCCATATATATCTTTCATCCGATTTGATCTTTAAGTCCCTCACATTCCTACTATGCACTCCACAACCGTGATATTTGGTACCAGGTATTAAATGGAGCACAGAAATAGCTGTTTTAAATTTTATCGAAATCGGTTCAGATTTGGATATAGCTCCCATATATATCTTCATCCGATTTCGGGTTAAATGTGCACCAAATGTCCACTATCAGTCCAAATTACCTGAATTTTGGCACACCCAACCGAGTTCGGCCTAGAAGTAAGTATATCAAATTTGGAGAAAATCGGTTCAAATATAGCTATAGCTCCCATATATATCTTTCATCCGATTTGATCTTTAAGTCCCTCACATTCCTACTATGCACTCCACAACCGTGATATTTGTTACCAGGTATTAGATGGAGCACAGAAATAGCTGTTTTAAATTTTATCGAAATCGGTTCAGATTTGGATATAGCTCCCATATATATCTTCATCCAATTTCGCGTTAATTGACCACCAAATGGCCAATATCAGCCCAAATGGCCCGAATTTTGGCACATGTGACCGAGATTAGCCTTAAAGCAAATACAACAAATTTGGAGAAAATCGGTTCAGAAACAGCTATAGCTCCCATATATATGTTTCATCCGATTTAGTGTTTTAGTCCCTTACATTCGTAATATTCACTCCACATCCATGATGTTTGGTACCAGGTATTAGATGGAGCACAGGAATAGCTGTTTTAAATTTTATCGAAATCGGTTCAGATTAGGATATAGCTCCCATATATATCTTCATCCGATTTCGTGTTAATTGTGCATCAAATGGCCAATATCAGCCCAAATCACCTTAATTTTCGTACATAAGACCGAATTCAGTCTAGAAGACGTCAAATTTGGAGAAACCCGGTTCATAGATAGCTATAGTTCGTAAAATGCACGATAGGATTAGATAGATTATGATTTTGTACCAAATATCTCATAGAGCTCTGAAATGCCCTGTATAAACCTTTTTACGAGAGCTCTACTAAATATGCATAGTGGTGTAGGGTATCATATAGTCGGCCCCGTCCGACTTTTGAGCTTTCCTTACTGGTTGTGTCTGGGATATTCTCCCCAGAAGTTATTGCAAAAATAAATTCTATGACAAAAAAAAATTTTTTTACCCAAGTGACAAGATCGTAAGCTCAATAGAAGAGGAACCAAAGAATAACATTAAATTAAAATTCTTCTAAATCTTACAACCGAGCTTATAAACATTTCCATCTTTCTCCACTTGTTATGCTTTCGTTTTACATGAACGAAGTAGCATAACCATAAAGGTAGGTTTTGTCTTCTTCGACCGGGCCTTGTCTTTTAATAGAACAGTATTGGCTTGTCACTTGGGTAAAAAAAGTTGTGTGTTATAGAAGTTATTTTTAAAATAATCTGGGGAGAAAAACAACAAGGAAACAGATGAGGATTGGTGGCTCTTTCCGAAACCTAGGTAATCGCTGCCTTACCCCCTGGTAAACATTACTATGGTTCTCTGCTAATAAACAAACGTTGTTTTTATAAAAACAAGAATAAAGATATTAAGCCTGACCATTTTGCAACAACAAATACTATGGTATTCCGAACAAACAAGCCAACACTGTTTTTATAGCCTTCACCACAAGGTGGTCAGGGTCTTTGTGCATTTGTTTGTAACAGGCAAAAGGAAACGAGATAGACCAATAGTTCCTTTTGATGATCTGCATAGAATCACTTTCTGAGTAAATTTATGCATGTCAGTCCGTCTGTCCGTCTGTCCATGTATTCTTGTGTACAAAATGCAGGTCGCCTTTATTATTCGATTGAGATGAAATTTTGCAAACAACATTTGTTTGGCCCAAGGACGAACCCTATTGAAATTGGAGATATTCGGTCAAAATTTAGATATAGCTACCATATATATCTTCGTCCGATTTGCCTTTTATTGTGCACCAAACGTGTAATATCAGTCCGAATAGTATGGAATTTTGCACGTACGATCCGATTGTATCAAAATAAGTATGCCAAATTTGATCGAAATCGGTTCAGATATAGCTATATCTCCCTTATATATTGTTCATCCGATTTGTTATTTTTGTCCTCCGCAGCTGTGATATGCACTCTGTAACAATAATATTTGGTGAAATTTATCAAATACAGCTCAGAAATACATTTACTAAATTTTATCGAGATCGGTTCAGATTTGGATATAGCTCCCATATATAACTTCGTCCGATTTACCTTGGATTGTGCACCAATCGTCTAATATTTGCCCAAATTGGATGGAATTTGTCACATACGACCGAATTGAGTCTAGAATGTAGTATGCCAAATTTGGTGAAGATCGGTTTAGATATAGCTCCCATATATATTGTTCATCCGATTTGTTGTATTTGTTACTCACAGCCGTAATATGCACTCCGTAACAACGATATTCAGGGAAATATATCAAATACAGCTCAGAAATATCTTTGCCAAATTTTATCGAGATCGGTTCAGATTTGGATATAGCTCCCATATATATCTTTATCTGATTTCAAATTAATTTTGCACCAAATGGGCAATACAAGTCCGAATTTAAAAGATACAAATGCTTTGGCATATTTAGTCCTTTGAATTTTAAATTATAATTGCAATCATAGGGTGTATGATTGAATTCTTCCATAACAACTTTTAATTGTTATGTGGAGCTCAACTAAATTAGCAAAGTGGTGTAGGGCATCATAAAATCGGCCCCGCCCGACTTTAGGACTTTTTTTTTACTGGTTTTAAAATGAATTTATGGCGAATGTTATCTTTTTCGAAAATTTTCAAATTTGTTCTAAATGGTGGAGGGTATTCAAAGTTCGGCCCGGCCGAACTTACCGCTTTTTTACTTGTTAAATTTTCAAGTTCCTTCCAAATGGTGGATGGATGCAAAAATAGCGTTTTCGACCAATTGTACAACCATAGACGAAGAGCTGCTATATTTCACTTTTGTGTTTGGAACACACCCATTGTTTGGGAGAGTATCTGATATGAACACAAGCAAGTACCTCTCTGTCTTCAATGAATTTAATGTAGACATTGTATGTTATGTAGATAAGATACCAATACATAAAGTACTGACAACTAAAACAAATAAGTGCAAAGAAGAAAAAATGGAATTAACGAAAGTAAATAGCAGATCTTCAAAGGTAAATATTTTCTAGTTAAATATTCGTTACAGAAAGATCGACATTTAAATGGTTAAATTTCAACGAATTTGAGCTTAACCTACCGCCTTCTTTCTTTCATCTTGGTTCTTTCGAGGTTGAGTGTAATGCCGCATTCTTAATTGTGTTACATTTTATTTCATCAAACAATTTTTTATTTAATTGATTCTTTTCGTTATAGAAATGCAATTTTGTCTCTTTTACAACCACACACTTATGGAAATATAACCACTTCAGATCCTTGTTTCACCTTTAAACACCTATGAGCGTATCAAAATTTAAATTTCACACGCCTTTCCATATCTTACCTTGTAACTCTGCATCAATTTCAATGCGCGTAATAACCGTTGAATAATTTTCACCGGCCGGTAGTCCCGCATAAGCTTTGAACTCTTTAATTTCCTTATAATTTGGAACATTTTCCTTTAAAACACCCTCGAATAGTCGGGCTTCTAACCATTTGGGAACATTGCTGGTATCTTTGTTAGCTGACATTATTATTATTATTTATTTAATTTGTTTTCTTTTTCATTCACAAAAAAAGTAAATAATTTTATCCGCCCGGTATGAGCAAATAGCACGCTACGGTTGAACTAACAGCAGCAACATTAGAAATATTTCAAAAAACAAAACAACAACTTGTTGTTGTTTGTTTACTCAATACAAAGAGATAATGAGGGAGAGAGATAATGGGAGAGCAATTTAGAAACAAATTGTTAGATATTTTGGGGTTCTCCTATGACTATACAGACGAATCTAGATAAATACTATTTGGTTAGGTGGACAAGTTCTGTTATATGGGAACTATTAGATTAGGCTGTGGTAGGGTAGCAAACAAGGCTATAATTTCAAACAAAAATTTAAGAAGGGGTCAAATAAATATAATACATTCAAAAAATATTCCAAAAATAACAAAACCATACCCCTTGTTCATATATCACTCGTATCCATTAGAGAGAATCACACAAGATTCTTCGACGAAATTTCAAAAATTGTCTTTCCTGACTAGGTGCAAGACCATGTTGCATGCCTCTTTAGGTCCAAATCCATTTTTGAAGATTTCGCTTTTGAAATTATGTCACGGAGCACTGCCTAGATATTACCCTTAGCATTTTGACCAGAGACATTTGCCCAATAGTTACGCATTCCGTCGTGCTGTTACTTGTTGTGGTCAATTTTAAAGCTAAATATAATCCAATGGTCATACAAAATGCTAGAATTCTTCCCTGTCCTTAACTCTCCTCTTAGGCCTGTCGATTGGCTTCAATTGTGTGATCAGAAAGATTTTTTCTGTTTTTGATTCATTTTAACCCCTAGATATTTTGCAATCATCTCCAAAAGCAAGAGGCTCCTCTGTATCTCTCTGAAAATAATAGGCATAGCCCTTGTGAGTCTTACCCTACCCTTGTGAAAATTTTCGTAAGGATCGGACGATAATTGCATTCTGTACATAATGACCCCAAACTGTGTTGTAAAGTGAAAAAATATTACAAAATGTTCACTTCAATATTATAAGTCGAATTAAAAAACCAGTCAGGAAAGCTCAAAAGTCGGGCGGGGCCGACTATATGATACCCTACACCATTATGCATATTTAGTAGAGCTCTCGTAAAAAGGTTTATACAGGGCATTTCAGAGCTCTATTAGATATTTGGTACAAAATCAAAACCTATCTAATTCTATCGTGCATTTTACGAACTATAGCTATCTCTAAACCGGGTTTCTCCAAATTTGACGTATTAGCTTCTAGACTGAATTCGGTCTTATGTACGAAAATTCATGCCATTTGGGCTGATATTGGCCATTTGATGCACAATTAACACGAAATCGGATGAAGATATATAAGGGAGGCATATCCAAATCGGAACAGATTTTAATAAAATTAAAATCAAATATTTTTGGGCTTTATCTGATATCTGGTACCAAATATCATTCCTGTGGAGTGCATATTACGAATGTGAGGGACTTAAAGACCAAATCGGATGAAAGATATATATGGGAGCTATGGCTATATCTGAACCGATTTTTACTAAAATTGGTGTACTTGCTTCTAAGCTGGTTTCGATCGGATTTGCCAAAATTGATGCTATTACGGCCATTTGGTGGTCAATCACCCGAAATCGGATGAAAATCTGAACCGATTTTGATAAAATTTAAAACAGCTATTCCTGTGCTCCATCTAATACCTGGTACCAAATATCACGGTTGTGGAGTGAATATTACGAATGTAAGGGACTAAAACACTAAATCGGATGAAACATATATATGGTTGCTATATCTATATCTGAACCGATTTTCACTAAATTTGACATACTTGCTTCTAGGCTGAATTTGGTCCGATGTACTAAAATTCAGTCCATTTGGACTTATATCGGCCTTTGGTGCACAATTAACCCGAAATCGGATTAAGATATATATGGGAGCTATATCCAAATCTGGACCGATTTCGATAAAATTACAAACAGCCATTTGGTGGTCAATCACCCGAAATCGGATGAAGATATGTATGGGAGCTATATCCAAATCTGAACCGATTTCGGTAAAATTTAAAACAGCTATTCCTGTGCTCCATCTAATACCTGGTACCAAATATCACGGTTGTGGAGTGAATATTACGAATGTAAGGGACTAAAACACTAAATCGGATGAAACATATACATGGTTGCTATATCTATATCTGAACCGATTTTCACTAAATTTGATATACTTGCTTCTAGGCTGAATTTGGTCCGATGTACTAAAATTTAGTCCATTTGGACTTATATTGGCCATTTGATGCACAATTAACCCGAAATCGGTTGAAGATATATATGGGAGCTTTATCCAAATCTGAACCGATTTCGATAAAATTACAAACAGCTATTTCTGGGCTGTATCTTTTATCTGGTACCAAATATCATTCTTGTGGAGTGCATATTACGAATGTGAGAGGCTTAAACACCAAATCGGACAAAACATATATATGGGAGCTATAGCTGTTTCTGAACCGATTTTCTCCAAATTTGTTGTATTTTCTTTAAGGCTAATCTCGGTCACATGTGCCAAAATTCGGGCCATTTGGGCTGATATTGGCCATTTGGTGGCCAATGAACCCGAAATCGGATGAATATATATATGGAAGCTATATCCAAATCTGAACCGATTTCGATAAAATTTAAAACAGCTATTACTGTGCTCCATCTAATACCTGGTACCAAATATCACGGTTGTGGAGTGCAAAGTAGGAATGTGAGGGACTTAAAGATCAAATCGGATGAAAGATATATATGGGAGCTATAGCTATATCTGAACCGATTTTCTCAAAATTTGATATACTTGCTTCTGGGCGGAACTCGGTTGGGTGTGCCAAAATTCAGGTAATTTGGACTGATAGTGCACATTTGGTGCACATTTAACCCGAAATCGGATGAAGATATATATGGGAGCTATTTCTAAATTTGATCCGATTCTCACCAATTTCAATAGGGTTCGTCCTTGGGCCAAAAAAATATTGTTTGGAAAATTTCATCTCAATCGGATAATAAATGCGACCTGCATTTTGTTCACAAGAATACATGGACAGACGGACGGACGGACAGACGGACTGACATGCATAAATCGACTCAGAAAGTGATTCTATGAAGGTTCTCAAAAGTAACTATGGGTCTATCTCGTTTCCTTCGCCATGTTACAAACAAATGCACAAAGACATAGTACCCTTACCACTATGTGGTGTAGGGTATAAATATATATCTATTTGTATGAAAATTTCATAAGATATTTGTGAAAAATTTTTGTTGATAAATATCTAGAAAAATATTTTTCACAGCAGGAAAAGACTATAGCAGTGTATTGTTATCAGATTGGCCTTTCCAGAAAAATATTTATAGAATAAATACTTCCGTTTTTGTAATTATTAAGTGTCGATAAAATTATCCATTAATTATTTTATCAATTCAATTAATTATTAAGTATCAATTAAAATAGCTCATGCATGAATTCGTACATACCCAAGGACTGTCCGAATACATTGTAGACGTTTTGTGAATTTTGAATGTTAAGTTAAAATTGTTAGCCTGGAAGAAGTCGAAGCATTAATAATTTTTAACGTAGAATTGTTGATCCCCAGCATTCTATAAAAAGTAGCACTAAATTAGCATTGCTGAAAAAATGGAATGCACTCAAGGCCTATATAAGAATACCAATTTATATCCTCACCACCATATTATGGAGGGTAAGTTTTTCATTCCGTTTGTAACACCTCAAATTAAAATTCTATGTCGATTTAACGATGACCGTACGTCCCTTAGCTTCCGAACAAATTGAAGTTGGTTGATAAAATTTTACTCAAATGTGTATTTTGTCTGCAGGGCTTTTTGTATTGAAAATGGGATATAAAGGTCCACGTTTAGTTATAGCCCCCCCATGTAACTGTAGCTCTGTATATTCGGTATTTTGTTGATTTTAGCGAGATTGTTTACCGGAATTGAAGTTCCTAATGGATACTTCTGTCTATGACAGAAAATTGTCTATGCTGGCCCAGGTTTTCGTATAGCCCCCATACATCGGTACCTCCCCATATTCGGTATTTTGCTGATTTCAGCAATATTATTCACCGGAATTGTTTCAATTTTCGTATTTCAAGTTTTTAATAGATACTACAATCTATGACAGAAAGTTGTCTATGCAGGTCCAGGTCTCCGAATATTCGGTATTTTTATGATTTAAGCGACATTATTTATCGGAATTGTTTTAAATTTCGTATTTGAAGTTCCTAATAGGTACTACAGTCTATGACAAAAAATTGTCTATGCAGGTCCAGGTCTTCGTATAGACCCCTCCTAATGGGTACTACAGTCTATGACCAAAAAATTGTATATGCATGGCCTGGTCTTCGTAGATCCCCTTAATATCGGTACCTCCCTATATTTGGTATTTTGATGTTTTCGCGGCATTATTCACCGGAATTGTTTTAAGTATCGTATTTGCGGCTTATGACAAAAATAATAATTATGCCTTTGTGCATTTGTTTGTAACATAGAGAAGAAAGCGGAATAGACCCATAGTTACTTTAAAGGATCTTCATAGAATCACTTTCTGAGTTGATTTATGCATGTCAGTCCGTCTGTCCTTGTATTCTTGTGAACAAAATGGCAGTCGTTCGAGTTTGGCCCAAGGACCGACCCTATTGAAATTGGTGAGAATCGGTTCAAATTTAGATATAGCTTCTATATATATCTTCATCCTATTTCGGGTTAATTGTGCACTAAACGACTGATATCAGCCCAAATGGACTGAATTTTGGCACTTCCGACGGAATCCAGCCCAGAAGCAAGTACTTCAAATTTTGGTGAAAATCGGTTCAGATATAGCTATAGCTCCCATATATATATCTTTATCCTATTTTGGTGTTAAAGTCTCTCATATGCTTATAATGCACTCCACAACAATGATATTTGATACCGGACTTCCGATACAGCTCGAAAATACCTAAGCCAAATTATATCGAGATCGGTCCAGATCTTAGTATACCTTCGATATACGTATTCATCAGCTCAAATTGAATAGATTTGTTTCATATTCAACAGAAATTTTCCATTTTGAAATATAATTCGTATCGAAGTCATATCACGCACTAGGCAGAAATATTATTTGGTACTAAAGGCACAATGTGACGTAGGCTCATTTGTTAAAAATCGATTCAGATTTGGATATAGTTCCGAAAATGTGACTACTCCAAAGCCATGATACGCATTCGAATAAGGTTTATAGTTGGTATGATCTACTTCACATACATTTCCAATATAAACTTTTTAAACCGATGTAGTGTTTATTTTCTTTGTGTAGGTAAGCTTCGACTTTATGTGAATATTCGTGGAAAGTAAAAAAAAAATGTTTTTTGTCATAGAAGTTATTTGTTAAAATAACTTCTGGGGAGAATATCCCAGACAAGAAACAAGGGAACTGATGAGGATTGGTGGCTCTTTCCGAAACCTAGGTATTCCCTGCCTTACCCCCTGGTAAACATTACCATCGTTCTCCACTCATAAACAAACAACGAAAGTAAAAAATGTTATTTTTTTAGTATCTAAGTGTCAAGAATGAAGAATTATGCACTCCTGAGTTTGTTGGTACAATACTGCAGCGCTCCTTATGCCCGACGAGACTTGTGGAGTAATGAATATCTAGCGAGTATGCGATCCGGAAGCTGCAGGGGAGAGTTAGGGGAGAGAACGGAGCTCCTAAATTTTTCTGCGCCTACCGAACAGCACTAGTGTTCTGCAAGCGGAAATCATTACTAACAGTAGACTAACTACCATAAATGTCCTAAAGGACAGCAAATTCGCCATAATGGCAGTAACAGCCAATAACGCACAACATAACGGGGATCAAAAATATTCTTAACAAGGATCAGTTCGAATCACATGGGTACCAGGCAATAATGGGATTAGAGGTGACGAACGGACAGACTCACTGGCGAAATATGTCAGAAGTTTAAGGGACACCTCCCTGAGAACGTTCCTCTTTGACAAACATCTAAAATTCCAACACATTTCTTAGGCTGGAATCAAACATTTCTACGAAAAACTGCGATTCCCGGGAATAGCCAAAATTGTTTACAAATATGTCTCAGGCGAATTCTCTTCGATTTGGTGTTTTGGATCTCATAACTTGACATAGATTTTAAATAAGTCGTTAGAGTTTTTTTCTGAACAATTGTTTATTAAAAGAAATACATTAAAAAAATTTTAAAAACACAACCTTGCCGAATCATTTAAAAGTCCAGCGCACCCCGATTCAAAAGCCAGGGCATTATGACATTGACATGTTCGATATAACGTTTATTGGTGAACATCAGCAGCTTGAATTTATCGCCATCATCGCTGTCGCCCAAAAAGTTATCAAATGTCGACAGTTCTGTAGAATCCATCAAGGCAATGGCCAGGACACCAACCGTTGTGGCAAAACCTAAAAGGACACAGATAAATTCTAATATTTTTCCAGTTGTGACCCTTTTCGCTTTGACATACCCCAAATATTATATTTATGCAGTGCTACATGCAGGTCCTTAAGACTTGGCTTAGCTTTTGGATATTTCAGTAATTCCAAATTTTCCACCAAATGTTCATGATAATATCGTATTAAATTGTCAAATTGTTTAATTTTAAAATCAGTTTGTGCCGACGACAAGATGAAATAGATTAAATCCTGAGCTGGACTACCGTATTTGGGATTGCCAATATCGACAAAGTAGTTATCCAACAATTCGCCATTGGCGCCGTATTGGAACATTATATTGCTGGCCCAGCAATCGCAATGATTTAAGACATTGAAATCGCCATCATCCACCTTAGTTGCCTTCCACAGCTCATCGATGATGCGGGGTAAAAGTTTTTCCTAAAATGATAAAGTTCGATTTTTTCCGCAAAATTTTAATTAACTGAAATTTTATCTTTAACTTACAATCTTCTCCCTGTAATCCTCAGAATTCTCATACACATGCATACAACGCTGCATATACTTGGTCATACTCTCAAAGAACACGGTGATGCCTTTGCGCAGCCGCTCGTTGTAGGTTCCCACAGTAAACACTTCATCGTATTTCCCAATATTTTCTCTATGCACCGCCGATACAGCATGCCATTCGGCCATTTTCTTGAGAACCTGCTTTGTATGTTCCATATCGAAGCAATCCAAACGACTGGCATTTCTAAAGTTTAGCGGACATAAGTCCTCCAACAGCATGTGACTCTTATCGGTGGGTAGTTTGTGGTATTTAGCAGCGAATTTAATTTCCTTTCCAGCATCGCGGTATAACTTTTCAAATGCTGGCATAAGCTGCTGATAGACTATATGTTCCGTTGTGAAACAATCCTCGATGCCTTCTGTTAGTTCTTTATAGAGCGCGGATTCGTGTTGAGTTTTGACAATGAAGAATTTTGGAATTGTGGAGCCGTCTACAAGAAAGAAATGGGAGGATATTAATGTTTCCATTGGGGAATGTATTCAAAGATTTTAGGAGTATATTTAAAGATTATGTGTGGTTGCATCTATATACAGGGTGAGATGAAAAAAAAGACGCAACATAGTCAAATGCCATATTTTTTTTTAATTTTATTGAATAGAATCTAAAAATTTCGGAAATAGCACCAAATTTTAGACTAAGTTTAGATTTGTTTGAATTGGTCACTTTTGCCACGAATTATGGCCCTCAAACGGCCAATGAAATCGTCACACGCTGGCCGAATGTTGCGCTGCGAAATTTTGACCCATTCCCGACGAAGCGCTTGCTTGAGGTGATCGACACTTTGGTATTTTTTAGTGCCAACCTTGCTTTCAAAAATATTCCAGATACAATAGTCCAACGGATATTTTGGTGGCCATTGTGCGCTGGATATGATGCGAGGAACCTCATTTTGTAACCATTTTTGGGAAGCATGTACTGCGTGCGATGGTGCTGAGTCCTGTTGGAATGTCCATAGTCTGCGTCCAAAATGTTTGAGTGCCCAAGGCTTTGGTACACCCTCCAGAATATTTTCGCGATAATATTCGGCATTTATTCTGATGCCACGGTCGATTAATATGAGTGGAGAACGACCATCCCCTGTTATGGCGGCCCACAACATCACCATGGCCGGCGCTTGAGTTCTGGTGGCCAACCGAAGTTGCACATTTTCAGCTGACCTCTTTGGCAAGTAAACACATTGATTTTGTTTGTTTGCAAACTGCTGGACAACGAATGTTTCTCATCGGATAAAACCAAATTCCGCAGTTCACCACTTTCGGCCAAGCGAAGCAACTCTTTAGCTCTTTTGAGTCTATTTTCTTTCTGTTGTGGTGTAAGTTAAGTAAGCACTTTTTGGAATTTCAATGGCTTAACCCCGAGCTCATTTTTCAATATTTGTCGAATGGAATATTGCGATTGTTCAGCTCAAGAGCCATTTTTCGGCCACTGTGGCGTGGGTTTCGTTTAAGTCGCTTCCTTATTTTCGAACCATTTCTGCTGATGTTGCTGTTTTCTTCCAAATTAGGTCTGAAAATAAGTATGCCAAATTTGATCGAAATCGGTTCAGATGTAGCTATAGCTCCCATATATATTGTTCATCCGATTTGTTATTTTTGACCTCCGCAGTCGTAATATGCACTCTGTAACAACAATATTTGGGGAAATATATCAAATAAAGCTCAGAAATATCTTTGCCAAATTTTCAGATTTGGTTATAGCTCCCATATATAACTTCGTCCGATTTACCTTTTATTGTACACCAAACGTCTAATATTTGCCCAAATGGGATGGAATTTGGCACAAACGGCCGAATTGAGTCTAGAAGCTAGAATGCCAAATTTGGTGAAGATCGGTTCAGATATAGCTATAGCTACCATATATATTGTTCATACGATTTGTTGTATCTGTTACCCACAGCCGTAATATGCACTCCGTAATAACGATATTCAGGGAAATATATCAAATACAGCTCAGAAATATCTTTGATAGATTTTATCGAGATCGGTTCAGATTTGGATATAGCTCCCATGTATACCTTTATCTGATTTCAAATTAATTTTGCACCAAATGGGCAATACAAGTTCGAATTTAAAAGATACAAATGCTTTGGCATATTTAGTTATGTGGAGCTCAACTAAATTAGCAAAGTGGTGTAGGGTATCATATAGTTGGCCCCGCCCGACTTTAGGACTTTCTTTACTGGTTACATGCTAAACCATTGAAACATTGGCTCTGACGGGCTCAAGCTAAAATTAGGAGTTTTAAGTTTTCGTCGGTTATAAAGCTCAAACCTCATTTTGGCCTTCCTTCCGTGGGGTCTTCATTCAATGTACCATATAACACTAAATCAAATCCCCTGGAGGAAAATATCTATGTTGGCTACAGACACTTATGATTGCTGAAAATTTTAAACATTATCTACATGCGAAAATAAATTTTTTGTGAAGTGAATGAGTTAACAAAAATCACAATTAACGATCAGTACCCCACACACGTTCTACAAAAGCTATTAATAAATCTAAAAAAACATTTAATTTAAAATTTATTTAACAAAAAAAAAAAACTCTTTGCGTAGAGTACACATTATTGACGAGTCATTCTCTTCATGTGAGTCATATTTTGAAGCATCGACAGAAAGGAAAACTTTGATATTATACTAACGTAAGAAGACGAAGAATTATACTAATTTAAGAAGATAATCTTCCCATTAAGTAGCTGAAGTTACGGTTTAAGACTGCCAAGTACCCAGACTCTGGAGATACTAAGTTATATGATCCAAATTACAATTTAAAAGTAAGTTCTGAATAATACTATGAAAGTTTAGTGGAAGTAATTTTTATCATTCTCTATTGAACTTGCCTCCTGAATTTATATGTTTAAGCCAATTATTTCAATTTTATATAGTTCATCTTCGAACTTGATCTTAATTCAGATCGCAAACGCATGTGTACCAAATTTAAGCACTCTATCTCAATTCCATCGGAAGATACTTTGTTGGATCAAAAATTATTACTTCGATGAGTTACAAACAGAATGACATGTTATGGTGGAGTATGCAATATTGCAGATCGAATTATTTTCTCCTAAAGCTGCTTTAACGGGTAAATTTCGATTATACCATCAAAAAAAAAAAAAAACACCATATATTTTGGGAATTTTCAAAGCAAATAGCCACTCTAAAACTTGAAATTATTCATCTTCCTCCATAAAAAATAATTTATCCAGAACCCCTATTTAAACTTCAATAAGAAGAGTCGTTTATTCGAATATTTTTCCAGCCCATTATCCCATTCTTTTATTATTTTTCCATAATAATTCCAAAATTCCCCCCGCAACGAATTACCTTGTAATTCGATGTGAATTTCAACGCGTGTTATAACCGTTGAAAAATTTTCACCGGCTGGAACTGCGGCATAGGCTTTAAATTCCTTAATAGCTTTATAATTTGGAACATTTTCTTTTAGGATATTCTCGAATAGCTGAGCCTCCAACCATTTGGGAACGTTGCTCGTGTTCGCAGTTGAAGACATTGTATGTAGTTCGAATGCAAAACTGAAAAAAGTGACAAATAAATGTATCCGCACAAAGTGACCAATGCAAACCCGGCAATTGAACTAACATAACTTTGGAAGTTTCAAAATAAATTCAAATGAGTTAATATCTTATCAAGAGAGATGTTAAATTTTAAAGTACTTGAGAGAAAGAGAGGGAGAGAGAGTGAGAGAATGGGAAAATATGAGAAATATACCACGGACCTCATAAAAACTATCAATTAGAAACTTTACTGTCGAATCAATACAGTCGGCTCTGGATAACAGGTATTTTGTTAACGGAAGTAAGCTAATCTGATATAACAGTATTTAGCAGTACACATTTAGATAAGATACCCGCTGTCAACGGAGATGAGTCTGCTGCAGTCAAAAAGAATGGTCTAAGTAACCGAATAATGTGGAGTAAAATATGATATGAACAGTTGGAGTTATATGGGTCGCATATGAAAACGTGGACCTATATTGACTATTTGTTGATAGATGCGCCAGTGTCCATTTCGAATTTCCTATACCAAATTTCAAAGAATTCCTTTGGAAAATATAGCTAAAATAATACAAATACTGAAGATATATTACTACCGTTATATAAAAACTATATGAAAACTTTGATTTTTTTAGAAAATTTTGGGTTACGAATAAGTGGTTAATTTTTAAAATTCGTTTATTGCAAAATTTGTGACACAGATAAATCTCCCTTGATACCTCTCTCACAATTTGCCAATATCATAAAATATTCAAAATTTGTGCCTAGAAATATTGAACTGAGTGCAAAATTAATTTTTTTTTCAAATCCCCAAAAATATTACGGAAATGGAGCTAAACATAAGGGATTTTTCAATCAGTGTTTGAAAGTATACGCTTGGAGGTGACCAAAATTAGGCGAGAAAGCTCCACCTATTTTTGACATTTTTGAAAATGTTAATGTTAAGATTCTTTGAAATTCATGCGCTTTAGTTATATGGTGCCTTAGGCAATATTAATGGCAAGAATCCAAGGAAATTTTCAAGTCAAGACATTAAAGAGCTATATTACGTCCATTTCTTCAAAAACGTTCAAACTCAATTAAGATGTGATTGTATCAAAATGTTAAGGAGTTCTGGAGTGTTGGTGGGTTCTGAGAAATATGGTAAAATTTTATAAAGGACAATTTTGTGGAATAGGTTGATATTCCACAAAATTGTCTTTTTATAAAATTTTACCATATTTCTCAGAACCCACCAACACTCCAGAACTCCTTAACATTTTAATCTTTTATTCTAAATAACATTGCTATAGAGTGCATGATATCACTTCAAGAAGGATTATATTATAAACAAGTAAAAAAGCTGTATGTTCGACCGGGCCGAACTTTTGATACCCCCCACCAAGTGGAACGAATTTGGCAATTTTCAAATAAAAATTCGAATTTTGTTAAAATCTTAAAAATACCGAATGTAGCCGTTATATTAGGATCTATACGACGACGTTGACCTGCAGAGGCAACAAAAATATATATATATATATATCGGTGAATAATGTAGCGAAAATCATCAAAATACCGAATATAGGGAGGTACTATTATATGGGGGCTATACAAAAAAGGTGAAACTGCACAGACAATTTTCTGTTATAGGCTGTAGTAACTATTTCGAACTTCAAATACCAAATTTGAAACAATTCCGACTAATAATGTCGCTAAAATCATCAAAATACCGAATATCGGGAGGTAACGTTATATGTGGGCTATATGAAGACGTGGACCTGCACATACACTTTTCTGTCGTAGGCTGTAGTATTCATTACGAACTTCAAATACTAAATTTTAAACAATTCCGGTGAATAATGTCGCTAAAATCATGAAAATACCGAATATCGGGAGGTACCGTTACCGTCATGGACCATTTTCAATACCAAAAGTCCTGCATACATAATATACCTTTGAGTAAAACTTTTTATCAAAATACTTTATTTCGTTCGGAAGCTAGAGTGATTTCCACAGAAGGACAGACGGATAGATGGACGTATATTGCCAAATCGACATAGAATTTTATGCTGATCTGGAATACATATACTTTGTGGGGTCTTAAATCTATATTTCGAGGTATTACAAACGGAATGATAAACTTAATATATCCTCCATACTACAGTGGAGGGTATAAAAATATATATCGGAGCCGAATTCCACAAAATGGAAACATTCGTCGGGAAATTCACTCCATTTGGTCTTATATTAGCCATTATTTGCACAGTAAACCTGAAATCGAATTGGGAGCTACATCCAAATCTTAGGCGATCTCAAAACAATTTGGCAAAAGGTATTTCTGAGCTCTATAAGATATCTGATACCAAATATCATTGTTGTCGAATGTATATTATGAATGTAAGGGACTTAAACACCAAATCTGTTGAAACATATATATGGGAGCAATAGCTATACTTGAAGCGATTTTCTCCAAATTTTATGTACTTGCTTTCAGATTGAGTTAGGTCATATGTGCCAAAATTGAGGTCATTTGAACTGATATTGGCTATTTGGTGCACAATTAACCCGAAATCATTTCAGGGAGCTATATGGGAGCTATATCGAAATCTGAACCGACTTTGATACAGTTTGGCTGAGGTATATCTGGGATGCATCTGGTTGTGGAATGCATATTACGAATTTGAGGTACTTAAAACCCCAAATCGGATGAAAAATATATAAGAGCTATAGCTATATCTCAACCGATTTTTTCCAAATTTGATTTACTTGATTCTAGACTGAATTCGGGTCATTTGGACCATTTTGTACACCCGAAATTGGTTAAAGATATATGGGAGCTATATTTAAATCTGATCCGATTATCAGATTATCTTTGGGTCAAACTTATGTAGTTTGGAAAATTTCATCTCAGTCGAATAATAAATGCGACTTGCATTTTTCCACAAAAATACTTGAACGGACGGACTGACATGCATAAATCGACTGAGAAAGTGATCTATAAATATCCTCAAAACTAACTATGGGTGTGCCTCGCTTCCTTCTCCATGTTATAAGCAAACACACAAAGACATGATACCCTTACCACTATGTGGTGTAGGATATAGGAGCATGTCTGTTTGACTTTTAAAGACATTTTATTAAAAACACAATAAATGTTTAATTTATTCCGTGTCGCTAAGTGGAAAATTTTCAGAGCCCAATATGAATGAGATCGGCAATTTATGTACACTTTTCCCAGACATTTGCTTCAGAGACTTCATCAGATCCAATAGCTTGGGTAATTGCTTTTCATGATTTTCCAGCTTCACTTGATTGGCTTTTAATTTTGCATTGACATCGTTTAGTAGTTCCATTTGTTGTTTCTCTGCGTCTTTTGTTTTAGGTTTCAATTCCTTTTGGAGAGATTCGATTTTTTCGAATTCTTTTTCGAATCCATTGATTTTTCCATTGATATCCTCCAATAATTCTGATAGTATATCCACAGCTGTATTAGTAGGACATTTCTTGATGTGTTCCTTTTGTCTTTGCAAAATCCCATTGAGATTGGAATTTTGTTCATTTTGACTGGTTTTTAGGCTGGCTAGCAATGTGTCCTCCAGGACACTGTACTCTACTTGGGTTTTATTGAAGAAGACATTTAATGGCTCGCATACATTTGTGTTTCCCTCGTTTGTTAGCTTTTGGGTCCTAAGTTGCTGCAACAACTTAGCTTCTCGAAATGCTCTACAATACAGTGAATTGATATCAATATTTTTTTCTTTTGGATTTGAAATCAAATTGAGATTTACTTACTTTTTATTTAAATATTCCACATCGCGTAGCAGACGATTAACACCCTCCTGAAGCTCGAATATATAGCCACGAAATTCATCGGCAGACTGGAGATTATTGTCGGAATTTCCCTCAACAGCAAGCGACAAAATAACGCTGATAATAGCAGCAAAAGACAAGAGAGGTTTCATGTTTTTCTTTCGATTTCAAGATGTGTACTGTCAAGATGTCCGTACTGTGGCTTGTGTATATAAACATAAATTGGGAACAATATTTGCTGATAAGCGGTATTTCACTGCCGATTATGGCGTTGAATTAAGTCGAATTTTGTTGACACTTCACGCAATTTTTCGAAGCCTCATAAACCAAACGTTTTGTTATTTTCATGTATAAACTCGAAAAAGGCGGCGATAAAAAATACATACAAAAGAGAAACAAGTAAAAAAGCTCTAAGTTCGGCCAGGCCGAACTTTGAATACCCTCCACCATTTGGAACGATTTTGCGAAACTTAAAAAAAACGGTGAATGATGTTGCAAAAATCATCAAAATGCCGAATCTCGGGAGGTACCGTTATATGGGGGCTATACAAAGACGTGGACCTGCACAGTCATAGGCTGTAGCATCCATTACGAGCTTCAACTACTGAATTTGAAACAATTCCGGTGAATAATGTCGCTTAAATCATCAAAATACCGAATATCGGGAGGTACCATTATATGCGGGTTATACCAAAACGTGGACCTACATGGCCCACTTTCAATACCAAAAATCCTGCAGACATAATATATATTGAGTAAAATTTTATCTATCTACTTCAATTCGTTCGGAAGCTTGAGTGATTTCCACTGACCGACGAACATCGCTAAATCGACATGGAATTATATACTGATCAAGAATATATATACTTTGTGGGGTCGAAAATGTATATTTCGAGGTGTTACAAACGGAATGACAAATTTAATATAGCCTCCATGCTATGGTGGAGGGTATAAAAATTTTGGTACAGAGGGTTTATATCCATATTCATATAAGGGCTGTACCAAAACGTGGACCTATATTGAAATATTTTTGCTTATAGAATATATTTATATCCTACACCACATAGTGGTAAGGGTATTCTGTCTCTGTGCATTTGTTTGTAACATGAAAAAGGAGGCGAGATAGAGCCATTGTTAATTTTGAGGATCTTCATAAAATCACTTTCTGAGTCGATTTATGCATGTCAGTCCGTCTGTCCATGTATTTTTGTTTACAAAATGCAGGTCGCATTTATTATCCGATTGAGATGAGAATTTCCAAACCATATTCTTTTAGCCCAAAGAGGAAACCTATTGAAATTAGTGAGAATCGGTCCAAATTTAGATATAATTCCCATATATATCTTCGACCGATTTCAGGATTATTGTACTCCGGATGGTTAATGGTCATTCAATTGAATGAATTTTGGCACTTCCGACCAAAAACGCTAAATTCATGAAAATATCGAATATCGGGAGGTACCGTTATATGGGGGCTATACAAAAACGCGGACCTACATTGCCCCACTTACAAAGTCAAACGCCATAATTTTTATTTTTTTTTTAATTTCCTTGAATGAAAGCAAAAATAGTCGGAAATAGCATCAAATTTTAGAATAAGTTGTTGCTCTGCGATATTTTGGCCTATTCCCGGCGAAGCGCTTGCTTTTGATGTGATCGACACTTTGGTATTTTTTAGTGCCAACCTTGCTTTCCAAAATACTCCAGACACAATAGTCCAACGGATTGGTATCCGGAGATGTTGGTGGCAATTGTGTGCTGAAAATAAAGCGAGGAACCTCATTTTGTGAGCATTTTTGGGTGGCGCTTGCTGAGTGCGATGGTGCTGAGTCCTGTAAAAATGTCCAAGGTCCAAAATGTTTGCGGGCCCAAGGCTTTAATACAGCTTCCATAATATTTTCGCGATTATATTCGGCATTTATTCTGATACCACTGTCGCTTAATACGAGAGGAGAGCGACCATCGGCTGTTAGGGCGGCCCACATCATCACCATGACCGGCGCTTGAGTTCTGGTGGCCAACCGAAGGTGCACATTTTCAGCTGACCTCATTGACAAATAAACACGATCATTTTGTTTGTTCTACTGGACAACGAATGTTTTCTCATCGGAGAAAACCAAAATTCGGCAGTTCACCACTTTCGGCCATGCGAAGCAACTCTTTAGCTATTTTGAGTCTATTTTCTTTCTGTTGCGGTGTAAATTCTTGCTCATTTTGGAATTTCAATGGCTTTACCCCGAGCTTATTTTTCAATATTTGCCGAATGGAATATTGTGATATGTTCAGCTCACGAGCCATTTTCGGCCACTGCGACGCGAGTTTCGATCAAGTCACTTCTTTATTTTTCGAACCATTTCTGCTGATGCTGTTTTCTTCCATCCACTTACTCGACGTCGGGCTACGTTACCAGCATCACGGTAACGAGCGATGTTACGAGACACAAAAGATTTATTTACATTTAAATGGTGGAGTCCTCTAACGATAGCCACTTGTGGTTTTCCAGCCGAAGATAAAGAAATCACACTATCACGCTTGAATTTTATCACGAAAAACTTTTTTTCTGGAAAGTTCTCACCAAAGTGCTTTTGTACGCTTGTAAATAATATAATGAGTTGTCACTGGAATAACTTTAACAGCTGTCGGACGAGTGGCTTAGAAATTACAGCAGTCTGAGGTTGGTTGCAGTTTTCTGTATATATCCGTCGGGACATCGTCTTTTTAATTTTTGCCTTAAAATTATTTGAAATCGCTTGAAAGTTATGTACATCAGCCAAATAAATATTTCAACGATTTCAGATTTTAAAATCTGGGGATGGGGAATCCCCTTCTGCCACATATTCTGATTGAGCCCCACAGATTTTTCTCCCCTATCAATAATGTCCATTATTTTTGTAAGTCACCGCTAGACTTTCCCCGTTTGCTTCCATTATCTCCCAGATTCTCTTATCACTCGACTTGGTCATGTTATCAACGACTAGAAGTTAAAACTGACACTGACACTGCGATTTTTTAATTCGTTTTAATTTCAGTATTGACTTTTAATCTGAGCAGAAGTGTTCAGGTCAGATGGCCAACATCAATACAAATGACCTGAATGTTGGTACATCTGACCGAATTCAGTCAAATTTGGCAAAATTCGGTTCAGATATAGCTATAGCTCCCATATTTATATCTCATCCGATTTAGTGTTTTTTGAGTCCCTCAAATGCGTAATATGCACACCACAGAAATAAGTGCCTAACGTTTTGTCAAGATCCCTTCAGCTTTGTATATAGCTCCCATGTATATCTTTATCCGATTTCAGGACTAAATTTTGGCATTTTCGACGAAATTCAGACTAGAAGCAAGATCATCAAATTTGAAGAAAATCGGTTCAGAAATAGCTATAGCTCCCGTATATATTCTTCATCCGATTTGGGGTATTAAGTCCCTCATAAGCGTAATATGCATTCCACAACAATGATCTTTGGTACCAGATATCAGATTCAGCTCTGAAATAATTGTATATCATATCACTTATATATTTGTCAGGATCGGTTGAGATTTGGATATAGCTTCCACATATATCTTCATTCAATTTCAGGTTTTTTTTGTGTACCAAATGGCTAATATCAGCCCAAATGGACTGAATTTTTCCACTTCCAAGCACTACAGTTCAAAATTCAAACACATCCATCAAATGTGGTGGAAATCGATTTAGATTAAGATATAGCTTATATATATTGTCTTCATCCGATTTCGAATACCAACCCTTCTTTTACGCATTCAAAACCTATCCTATTTCGTCTGATTTACTTCACACAAATTCCCAATCTTAAGGTATATTTATTAAGGGTAGAACTGCTCAATAGGTGACAGTGGTGTAGGGTATCATATGGTCGGTCCCGTCTAATTGTTGCCCTCTGCTTATTGTTAAAGTCCTGGTCAAATGGGATTTGAAGTGGACCCTATTTAGGACTAAATTCCCTTTTAAATGTCCTGATAAAGATTATTAAATACCATAAAGACAATGCCAAATTTAATATGCCATACACCTTATGGAAGGCGATACGCGCTCTCTCTCTCTCTTTTATTAATACGCTCTCTCTCACACACACTTTTACAAATCCAATTCTCTTTATTTCTTAATTTCATTTTGTTTTTGTGTCATACCCAAAATAAAATCGATTGGTAACACCGCATGATGTGGTCGCGACACATCCTTCGAGGATGATACTGCCTCCTTGACAACTGTGGGTACCTCCTTTCCGAATTTCTCAAATTTCACTGTATGCTGCAACAACTTTTCAACAATTTCCGTGATCAAATTCATTTGTTCGACCTGCTGTTGCTGTAGCTTTGCCTGTTTAGTCCCCAATTGCTGTATTTGTTTTTCGAAATGCATTAACTTTTCTGAGATTTCGGATAGAGAAGCCGTAGATGATGATTCCGCAATGGAGGACACATGGTTTGGTGGGGCACAATTTTTGCGATTTAAAATATTCAATGACAGCTCATTTTGTTCGTCTTGAATTTCATCCAGTTTCTGGGCCAGTCGAGTTTCAAAGGATTGATGTTTGCGTTTGGTGGCCTCAACAAAACGCGACATTTGATCACAGATCTCATCGTTTTTGTTGGTAGCTGCAGCCTCTTTGGCTGTTCGGAGATCTTGGAGTAATTTCAGCTGCTGCTGGAATCTGAAATAAATGGAAAAAATTTAATTGTAATTTTTATATTGTCGGGCCCATCGGGTCACCAGGGACTATTACTTTTTCTTGACAATTTCCACGCCACTTTGTATTCTTTGCATTTCTTCTTTGATTTTGTAAACATTGGTGTAATGCTGTACCAATTCGTCATCACTGCGGAGATCGGCCTCACATTGCACCCGGCCACAAATGACGAACAACACACAAACACAGGCCACAGCAAAAATATTTGAAAAATGAAGCATTCTGCCGACTATAAAACACTTCTGCACAGATTAAAAGTCAATATTGAAATTAAAACGAATTAAAAAAATCACAGTGTTCGCCAGGCTTTCAGTTTGACTTCTAGCCGTTGATAACATGACCAAGTCGAGAGATAAGAGAATCTGGGAGAGAATGGAGGCAAACGGGGAAAGTCTAGCGGTGACATACAAAAATAATGGCTAGTATAGAGAGGGGAGAAAAGTCAGTGGGGTTTCAACCAGAATATGTGGCAGATGGGGATTCCCCATCCCCAGATTTTAAAATCGAAAATCATTTGAACTATATATTTGGCTGATGCATATAACTTTCAAGCGATTTAAAATAATTTTAAGGCAAAAATTACAAAAGTTGGTGTTTCGAAGGATATATACAGGATGAGATGAGAAAACTGCAACCAAATTTAGACTGCTGTCATTTCTAAGCCACTCGTCGGACAGCTATAAAAATTATTCCAGTGACAGCTCATAATATTGATTATAAGCGTTCAAAAGTATTTTGGTGAAAACTTTCCAGAAAAAAAGTTATTCGTGATGGAATTCAAGCGTGATGGTGTGTTTTTTTATATTTGGCTGGAAAACCACAAGTGGCTATCGTTAGAGCACTTCGACATTTAAATGTGAATAAATCTTTTGGGTCTCGTACCATCGCTCGTTACCGTGGTACTGCTAGTGTAGCCCGACGTCAAGGAAGTGGACGGAAGAAAACAGCAACATCGGTAGAAAAGGTTCGAATAGTAGGGAAGCGACTTGATCGAAACCCGCGTCGCAGTGGCCGAAAAATGGCTCGTGAGCTGAACATATCGCATTATTTCATTCGGCAAATATTGAAAAATCAGCTCGGGGTAATGCCATTGAAATTCAAAACAGTGCAAGAACTTACACAGAAAGAGAATAGACTCAAAAGAGCTAAAGAGTTGTTTCATGGTCGTCGAAAGTGGTGAAGTGATGAATTTGGTTTTCTCCGTCTCCGACGAGAAAACATTCGTTGTCCAGCTGTTTGTAAACAAGCAAAATGATCGTGTTTACTTGGCAAAGAGGTCAGCTGAAAATGTGCACCTTCGGTTGGCCACCAGAACTCAAGTGCCGGTCATGGTGATGGTGTAGGCCGCCATAAGAGCCGATGATCGCTCTTCGCTCGTCCGTGGCATCAGAATAAATGCCGAATATTATCGCGAAAATATTCTGGATGGTGTATAAAAACCTTGGGCGCGCAAACATTTTGGCCGCAGACCTTGGACATTCCAACAGGACTCAACACCATCGCACTCAGCACGCGCCACCCAAGAATGGTTGCAAAATGGGGTTCCTGGCTTCATTTCCAAAATCTTCGGATACCAATCCGTTGGACTATTGTGTCTGGAGTATTTTGGAAAGCAAGGTTGGCACTAAAAGATACCAAAGCGTCGATCACCTCAAGCATGCGCCTCGCCAGGAATGGGCCAAAATACCGCAGAGCAACATTTAGGGCAGCGTGTGACGGTTTCATTTGTCGTCTGATGACCATAGTTCGTGCCAAAGTTGACCAATTCGAACAATTCTAAACATAAACATAATTTCATTAAGTAAAATTAAAAAAAAAATGTAAAAATTATGACCTTTGACTTTGTTGCAGTTTTTTTATCTCACTTTGTATATCTTCCACCGATTTCCGGGAAAGTGTGCACCAAATTGCCAATATCAGTCCAAAAGGCCTGAATTTTGATATATCCGACCGAATTCAGTCTAGAAAAAAATACATCAAATTTGGTGAAAATCGGTTCAGATATAGCTATAGCTTCCATATATATGTTTCAACCGATTTGGTGTTTAAGTCCCTCATGTGTATTCGACAAAACTGATATTAGGTACCAACTATCAGATGCAGCCCAGAAATACCCTTGTCAAATTGTATCAAGACCGGGTCAGATTTGGATATAGCTCCCATATATATCTTCAACCGATTTCGGTTCAGATATAGCGCCCATACATAGGTCTCATCCGATTTGGTGTTAAAGTCCCTCACATTCGTAATATGCACCCCACAAGAATGATGCTTGGTATTAGATATCTGATACATCCCAGAAATACCTTTGCCAAATTGTATCAAGATCGGTTTAGATTTGGATATAGCTCCCATATACATCTTCCATCGATTTCAAGTTAATTGTGCACCTAAAGTCCTGAATTTTGATACATCCGACCAAATTCAGTCTAGAAGCCAGTATTTAAAATTTGATAAAATCGTTTCAGATATAGCTCCCATACATAGGTCTCATCCGATTTGGTGTTTACGTCCCCCACATTCGTAATATGCACCCCACAAGAATGATGCTTGGTATCAGATATCAGATACAGCCCAGAAATACCCCTGCCAAATTGTATCAAGATAAGTTCAGATTTGGATATACCTCCCATATATATCTTCGACCGATTTTGGGTTAATTGTGCACCAAATGGCCAATATCCGTCTAAAAAACCAGAATTTTGGCACATCCGACTGAATTCAGTCCTGAAGCCAGTATTTCAAATTTGGTGAAAATCGATTCAGATATGGCTATAGCTCCCATATATATGTTTCATCCGGTTTGGTGTTTAAGTCCCTTATATTTGTAATATGCATTTGACAACAATGATACTTGGTACTAGATATCTTAAAGAGCTCGGAAATACTTTAGCCAAATATTATCGAGATCTTCTAAGATATGGATATAGCTCCCATAGATATCCTTAATCCAATTTCTGGGCAGAGGGTGGGAAAACCGGGTATGGCCAAATGGGCATATCAATATGCCGTCTCCTCATACAAACGTATTACGGCACAACGCCACAATACCCCACTCCACAGTATGACATAGGGTCCATGTAGGTGTGTGCATGGATCCATGTATAAATCTCTCATTTACTCTTGCAATCGGGAAAGTACCAATAAGTAATTGCGAGATGAATTCAATTAATTTCATGGAAGTCCAAGAATAACAACAAACACCTCTTGCTTTTATTGGAAAATATGCAGTGAACCTGACTCTCTACTATCAAGAATCTGATGTTCTTATCAGCAGAACGTAGTCGGACTCAAATGAAAAAAATATATTATTATTTTGTTTTTTTTTATTTTAATAATTCAAAATAATAACATTTTCAGTTTGAATTGAAATTTTGAGTGGTGCAGAGCAAAGCGTTTTGAGTATTTTTCCTATTTGAAATGTTCGGTATTTGTAGCTCCGGTCTTTTGACATTTCTTGTATTACTCTCTTCCCATGGATTATCGCAGGGCGAGGTCGATGTAAATGTGGCCCTTAAAAATTGGCGAGATCACGAGGGTCATGTCTTTGTTATGAATGAAATCGTTGTCGATTTGCAGCGTGATCTGGAAGATCTGATAAGCTAGTGAGTAAAAATCGGGTTAAAATATAAAAAGGGTAGACAAAAAGTTGCAGAAGTTGTGGAGGGAAATTAAAATCAAAAAATAAAAATTTGCCCAAATTATTCCCAAAAGCTTACAGAAAATAATTTCATTGTTCCATACCCTGCAAAAATCTAGCAGTTTTATTTTTTTTTTTTTATTATTTTTATTTTTCGTACGGCAAAGTCTATATATTCTAACCCTTTTTTCGCATTTACTGCCCCTCTCTTCCAGTTCCAATAATCAATTCAGAATACTCAAAGAAATGCGTCTGGAAAGCGATGTGGCTCCCTTGGCCGAGGTTGATGTGTGCGAACGCATCACCATTTCATTCAATTCCACCCATCGCAAATACAATATGGTTGAGGAGCGTATCATCAACAAATTGGATGACATCCACGAAGAACAGAAGACTAATTTGAAACAGATAATGGACAAGAGAAATTGTAATGCTGCCGTTGTCGCCCTAACAGCCGCCACGGCCGATGTAACACCGGAATCTGTAACAAGTGTTAAGGAGAAAATCTCCAGCCTGGAGGTGGAATTGCAAAAATATGAAAATCAACAGAAAAGGCTGCAAGAAAAAAACGAAGAACTTTTGAAAATGCTAAAAGATGTTAATACGAAATTGAGCAGCCACCAAGGTGAATTTGAGAAATTCGAAAAAGACTTAAGGAGTGTGGTGGAGAATGTCAATAAAGCTGTTGCCAAGGAGAAGGATAGCAAACAGTCTACGATACCGATGGGCGTGGTTTTGGCTTTGACACAAAATCAAAAGAAAACTAAATAGAAATGGAAAACATTTTGAAATGAAATAAAAAAAAAAACAATAATTAATTTGTGTTTTCATTTTGAAACACTCACATGGATAGGTGGTAGGAGGTATTATATCTTGGTGCATTTCCAGCAAGAGTGTAATTATTAAATGAAGTATCCCATTCTCAAAACTACTTACAAAAGAGCATCCTTGACCGTTATTTCAACAGGAAATTGTCATAAGATAGGATGCTCCAGTGATAAGTTCAACGATCTGCCATTCAAGACTAAAAACAAGTAAAAATGCTGTGAGTTCGCCCGGGTCGAACTTTGAATACCCTCCACCATTTGGAACGAATATGGCAATTCTCAAAAACAATAAAATCCGTTAAAACTTCTGTTAAAATCTTAAAAATACCGAATGTAGCTATTATATTAGGGTCTATACGACGACATGCACCTGCGTAGGTAACATTTGTCATAAGCCATTGCAATATTCAAGTGCGAAACTTAAAAAAAGCGGTTATAATGTCGATAAAATCAACATACCGAATATAGGGGGTACCGTTATATGGGGGTTATACGAAGACGTTAACCTGCACAGACAATTTTCTGGCATGGGCTAAAGTATCCATTACGAACTTCACATGCGAAATTTGAAACAATCCCGGTAAATAATGTCGCTAAATCATCAAAATATCGAATATCGGGGGTTACGGTATATGGGGCTATACGAAGACGTGGACCTACATGACCCATTTTCTGTTTTATGCTACAGTATCTATTACGAAGTTCAAATACCCCCATACCGTTATATGGGGGGCTACACGAAGACGTGGACCTGCACAGATAATTTTCTATCTTAGGCTGTAGTATCCATTACGAACTTTAAATACCAAAATTTGAAACAGTTCTGATGAATAATGTCGCTAAAATCATCAAAATACCGAACATCCGGAGGTACCGTTATATGGGGGATATACGAAGACATGGACCTACACAGACAATTTTCTGTCTTAGGCTGTAGTATCCATTACGAACCTCAAATGCCAAATTTGAAACAATTCCGGCGAATATTGTCGCTAAAATCATCAATATACCGAATATCGGGAGGTACCGTTATATGGGGGCTATATGATAACTTGGACCTACATGGCCCATTTACGAACTTAACCTGCCTACTGGTAAAATATACATGTGTGCAAAATTTTAGCCTTCTATCTCAATTTGTTCGAAAGATAGCGTGATTACAACAGACAGATGGACAGACAGACGGACATCGCTAAATCGACTTAGAATGTAAATACTTTGTTGGGTCTGACATGAGTATTTCGAGGAGTTACAAACGGAATGACAAAATTAATATACCCTCCATAGTATGGTGGAGGGTATAAAAACAGTAAGGGAAGGTCAAAAGTCGGGCAAAGCCGACTATATGATACCCTACACCACTATGCATATTTAGTAGAGCTCCCATAACAAAAGAATTAATTTGAAGTAGATCATACCACCTGTCAACATTTGGCTTTAGAGCAGTAAAAGTTTGGTTTCCGAGGGAATTAATATACGGGAGGCATATCCAATTTTGAATCAATTTTCACCAAATTTGACGGAGACATTTTAATCTTTTATACCAACTAACATCGCTATAGAGTGCATGATATCACTTCGAGAAGGATTATGCTAAAAAAATGCATATCGGAGCCTAGTTCCACAAAATGGAAATGTTCGTCGCGAAATTTACTCTATTTGGGCTTGGGCTCTTCCCCGCAGACTTTTTAGAGCGGAGGCAGATTTCGGTATGCTCTTCTTCCCCGCAGCGTTTTTAGGAAATTGCGGTTCCGTAGAACTAACCAGAGCCTTACTTTCCTTCGAGTTACAAGTTGGTACCTCTGGTTGTGGAGCTTTTGTAGCCTTCTTAGAAGACTTCCTAGATCCTGTTTCTCTCTATACCACCCTTCCAGGTGAACAGAAGCTTCCCAAAACCATATAGGGGATCTTACCCACTTTGCGTTATCATAGTTCCTCTAAATCTCCCTAACGAACTTCAGCTTATTTCGAATAAACTGTAACTTCTTACAAGAGATCATAGTTCCTCTAAATCTCCCTAACGAACTTCAGCTTATTTCGAATAAACTATAACTTCTTATCAGTGAGTTTGGAAGGATCCCCATTTTCATATCTTCTACAGTAATTTACCACTCTATACGCTTTCTTGTTTTTTGCTTCTTTGGACTTGATGATTTTGATGTCCGGAGAAGTCAGCGACACCTACATTTTTCGATAAAGCTGACACTCCGTCTCCCTCAAGCGCCACTTTCCTAGAGAACAAGAACACATCGGTACTAGCTGGCGATACAATTGTGAGACCACCAGAACTTACTAGGTCAACGAGACTAGCTTCATTCAGGGGAGTCATTCCTTGACTGGAGGTCGAGGCATGGATTGCTCCTCAGTAGGGGAGTGGGGTTCTTCTTTCTTTTGAACTTCAGGTCTGTTCTAATAAGCTGTCAGTATGCTTAGACGGTTTCTATTGACTAATCGAATATTGTAATAAACCTCGTTTATATGTTTTTCTATTTGAACTTGAGGCTTGTAGCGTCCACAGAAGTCTGCGACAACTCCATTCTCAACTTCATAGAAAGGTGTTAACGCTTGACTTGAGGTGGAGTCATGGATTTGTGTAGTATCCTCTTCCTCGTCAGTCTGAAAGGACTTCAAGAAATTCGCAGGAATTCTGACCTCACTCAGCTTGAGTGGCCCCATATCCATAATAAATTGGCAAATCTTCTTCTGTTGTCTTAACTCACATTTCTTAATTAAATTCAGCGTCAGAGCATTGCCCCTAGTTTTCCGTCCATTCTGTTCTTTTGGTGCTACCTTATATTGATATCTTCCATACGTCATCGATTTGTGAAGGGGAGGTCGACCATGCCATAGCCGTTAACACTTTCTTTTAGAAAATAAATATATATTTGAAGCGGCCACCCTTGTTAAAATAATGAGTTGGAAAATCGATTTGTAATGCTGGCTTTTTTATCGCCCATACATCAGTGTGTGCCACGATTACTTTGTGAACCTATATATCCTGCCGAAAATGATTATCCATCGTACACCTCACGTAAAAAACCCACGAAGTCTCCAAACACCAAAATGTTGTCAATATTGGTAGTCTGTGGGGAATTCCTCAGTAATAGATGGTTGATGATACTGACAAGGGGAACTACAAAATTGATTAATTTTTTTATGCAAATATTTTTTTATTTATAATCTGTTGAGGTTATCGTATAGAGGTTATCATTTTAAATTTCCATTTCAAAAGAAGAAGAACAACAAATAATTTCGACGAAGAATTTTTATTCGATTGACATTTTGCCAGTTATTTGTTGATTTTACGTTTTTGTTTTACAAATTATGGTCACAACAATTCTTTTTTCCCCTCTCTGCACCCTATGCAATTCAACCACATTACTATCAATGCAATTGCCAAAAATAAAAACAATCCCTCTCCATTCATTCAAATCTCTAAAATAATTATTGGTATTTGTTTACACATTTGAAAATTGGACAATCAGCGTGACATTTTGCGGCAAGCCAACCAGCCATACCGGTGTTCAGCACAACTTTTGTGTGTCTGTTAGCGCTTCAGTGGTGATTAAAATCTCATTTGTGGTTCCAAGGTTAGTTTACACATTATATTGGGGTCATATGTAAGAAGACTTTTTAACATTTAAATTTAGAATTTGCAGAGCATACTTTTAGGAGCTACACATAGTTTAATGATAAACCAGTAAAGAAAGTCTTAAAGCCGGGAGGGGCCGACTTTATGATACCCTACACCACTTCGCTAATTTAGTAGAGCTGCGCATAACGATTAAAAGTTTTTATGGGAGAATTCAATCATACACGCTATGATTATAATTATAATTTAAAGTTAAAAGGACTAAATATGCCGAAGCATTTGTATCTTTTAAATGCGGACTTGTATTGCCCATTTGATATATATGGGAACTATATCCAAATATGAACCGATCTCGATAAAATTTAGCAAATGTATTTCTGAGCTGTATTTGATATATTTCCCCAAATATTGTTGTTACAGAGTGCATATTACGGCTGCGAAGGGCAAAAATAACAAATCGGATGAACAATATATATGGTAGCTATAGCTATATCTGAACCGATTTCGATCAAATTTGGCATACTTATTTTTGGCATACTATATTTCAATCTGATCGTACGTGCAAAATTCCATAATATTCGGACTGATATTACACGTTTGGTGCACAATAAAAGGCAAATCGGACGAAGATATATTTGGGAGCTATATCTCAATTTTGACCGATTATCTCCAATTTCAATGGGGTTCGTCCTTGGGCCAAACAAATGATTTGTGCAAAATTTCATCTGAATAGGGCATTAAATGCGAACTGTACTTTGTTTACAAAAATACATGGACAGACGGACGGTCAGACAGACGGACATGCATAAATCGACTAAGAATGTGATTCTATGCAGATCATCAAAAGGAACTATGGGTCTATCTCGTTTCCTATTGAATGTTACAAACAAATGCACAAAGACATAATACCCTGACCACCTTGTGGTGTAGGGTATAAAAAGTTATTTTTAAAATTGCTTGAGGACTACTTATGGGATATAAGATGGGAGAGAGACCAAATCACCATTATGACCTATAAATACCAATTTTTAGACAAATTCTTGGAAAATGTGCCAAACATTAATACCGACCATCGGGGGGTACCGTTACATGGGGCTATTCCAAAACATTGCAACCTACCTCAGACTGCTGTGATTTCTAAGCTGTTCGTCCGACAACTATTAAAATTATTCCAGTGACAGCTCATTATATAGTTTACAGGCGTACAAAAGCATTTTGGGGGAGAATTTTCCAGAAAAAAGTTATTCGTGATGAAATTCAAGCGTGATAGTGTGATTTCTTTATATTTGGCTGGAAAACCACAAGTGGCTATCGTTAGAGCACTCCAGCATTTAAATGTGAAGAAATCTTTTGTGTCTCGTACCATCGCTCGTTATAGTGATACTGGTAGAGTAGCCCGACTTCAAGGAAGTTGACGGAAGAAAACAGCAACAGCAGAAATGGTTCGAAAAATAAAGAAGCGACTTGAACTAAACCCGCGTCGCAGTGGCCGAAAAATGGCTCGTGAGCTGAATATAAAGCAATATTTCATTCGGCAAATACTGAAAAATGAGCTCGGGTTGAAGCCATTGAAATTGAAGAAAGTGCAATAACTTAGACCGCAACAGAAAGAAAATAGACTCAAAAGAGCTAAAGAGTTGTTTTGATTGGCTGAAAGTGGTGAAATGCCGTAGACCTTGGACATTCCAACAGGACTCAGCACCATCGCACTCAGCACGCGCCACCAATCCGTTGGACTATTGTGGCAAGGTTGGCACTAAAAAATACCAAAGTGTCGATCACCTCAAGCAGGCGCTTCGCCGGGAATGGGACAAAATACCGCAGTGCAACATTCGGGCAGCGTATGACGGTTTCATTGGCCGTTTGAAGTCTGTAATTCGTGTTGTACAAAATACTTTGTACATACTTTTGAGTGCGGTTGAGGCGCTGGGAAAAACTAGCAATAAACAATAAATATTCAAAAATTACATATTTCCCAGCCGCCATAAAATACCACATGTGAACAATTCGGTGATCTTGTGCGCTGACGCATACGATAATGTGTCAGATAATAAAGGTTATGACCCACACGCACAGATATCGATGCGCTCAGTAGATGCACAAGATCACTTGAATGAAATGTAAAGCAGTCCTGCAATGTTCTCCATTCAATATTAGAATAGATAAGAACAATTGTGTGGCTGCGACTAGGTTAAGTTAGATTAGTTTCAGTAGTACGTAAGGAACAAATATTTTAAATAAAAACAGAATTGAATCTACAGCCTAACCGTTCGGTTGGTTTTCTCTTCTCAATCACGTGTCAAAGGTGACCAATTGGAATAAATCTAAACTTATTATAAAATTTGATACTATTTCCGACATTTATTGATTTCATTAAATAAAAAAGTTGTTTTTTATCTCAACCTGTATTCTTTAACTGATTTCGGGTTAATTGCGACAAAATGACCAACATCTGTCAAAAATTCCTAAGTTTAGGTATATCCAACCGAATTGAAGTGAATATCGGAACGTACGTTCCTATTTTGTGCAACTCGGTTCCGGTACATATTTTTTGAATATAATCCTTCTCGAAGTGATATCATGCACTCAATAGCAATGTTATTTGATATAAAAGATTAAAATGTCTCTGTCAAATTTAATGTAAATCGTGATAGGTGATAGGTGGTATGATCTACTTGAAATAAATTCTTTTGTTACAAAAGCTCTACTAAATGTGTATAGTGGTGTAGGGTATCATATAGTCGGCCCCGGTCGACTTTTTACTTTCCCTTACTGGTTTAGCTATATTTTCAACCATTAATTTCCTATTACTATATTTCTTATAGTGCATTCTCTCTCTCTCTCTCTCTGCACGTTCTCTCATCTGAGTTTTGTACAGCATTGCTTTAAAGCGTTGTTCATTCCAAGAACGCTGATAAGAAATTCAATTGAATTAAAAACCAAAATTCAAGCCATCATAGCTATCATTTGCCCAGCTAAAACCCGCTTGAGTAGATCGCAGGCAAAACAAAAAAATCCCAATGTATTGGAAATTTATATTTATTCTCGTTATTTCTGTTGCTGGAATATCAGCGGGCGGAGAACATAATCATTTGGAGCAGCAACTAATGGCCGATTCCCATCTCTTGAGGGAATCACAGTTTGGTTTGGAAAATGACATCAAGCAGCTGAAAAGAGGGTAAATATTAAAAAAATATATATATTCACAGACATAACAACTTCCCACTTCTGTATTTTCAGTTTCGACATTCTCTCTAGAGAAATTAACGACGTTAAATCCGATCTTCTGGAAACCGATAACCCCGTGGAAAAATGTAAATTGGAAAATCTCTCAACAACGACAGAAAATAAACTCAAACAAATCGCCAGTCAACTTCAGTTGATGATCAATGTCAACGATGCCGATCAAATGGCGAAATTCAAACAAATTTCACAAAACCTGGGCGAGCAGTGCGAAAATGATCCGTTGATGGAAATGAAGCTTAAAATCCAAGAAAAATTGTCGCAATTTGATAAGTTTTCGGAGCGTCTGCAAAATTTAGAAACTGCCTTGCAACAATCCGTTTCCACTGCCGAAGATAATGAAAGGCGTGCAAATATATCGAAGCTGCTAACAGAAAGTGTTGAACGGTTACAGGAGCAGGAGCAAAAATTGCAATATTTTGATAATGTTGTACTACAATTGCTAACGTTGGCCGAGGAGATTAAGGCGAAGGCTGAAAAAAACTCGGATTGTGAAACGGGTAAATGTTTGTCGAGGAAAATTTTAGATGCCATCAAGAAATAAGTAGTTGTTCTTTAAAAATTACGGAGAAAATGGAACTGGGTTCACAATAAAAGTTGAATATGTTAAGATATATTAAAAATTATCATTGAAAATTTTTCTTTTATCCCTTGCGGAATTGTAGCTTTTATTCCTTTCCTTTATACTTGCATTTGGTTCGAATTGTCTCCTTGAATTGATTTATACCCTCCACCATAGTATGGTTATGCCCTCCACCATGACAGAAAATTGTCTGTGCAGGATCGCGTCCCTGGTATTCGTAATTGTTTCAAATTTGTTATTTTAAATTCGTAATGAAAACTACAGCCTATGACAGAAAATTGTCTGTGCAGGTCCACGTCTTCGTAAAGCCCCCATATAACGGTACTCCCCGATATTCGGTATTTTGATGATTTTAGCGACATTATTTACCGGAATTGTGTCATTTGAAGTTCGTAATGGATACTACAGCCCATGGTACAATAGCAGGTAGAACAGCTTCGAAAAACGAGGCATTACACTCACTCTCATGTTTGTTGTTGTTTTGTGATTCTAGTAAACACTCATGATCTGTGCAACGGTTTGCGCATTCCAAACTATTTGGCATTCTTTGTTTTGTTTATGAGTTGGTTGAGTGTGCGCACGTTGATGAGAAACAGCTTTTACTCATTGATAAAGCTCACTACAAATTATGTAGAGCTTTCTGCCTATAAAAGGCGTGCGCTCGATAAGAGTTTATTCATTATTGCAGATCACTTGGTTGAGGTAAGAAGTACTTAGCATTAGATACGTTCTGGTTGTCAGTGCGGTACTCTGAAAATTATAAAATTCAAGGAAGTTCTTATAGTGGATTGCTAGATACGTTCACAGTGTCGGTAGTGCCCATAAGAAAATAATTGAATGTACCAAGTGTTCTGACTGTTGCAATCATTGTTTCTTTTGTTTTAAAATTATAAATAAAAGGCTTAAAGTAAAGCGGAGTTTTTGTGTCTTATTATTTGGAAAGGCAACTATATAGCTGGTCCCTGGAGGCACGGACTCTCCTCCCTTTACAATTTTTAATTTAGATGGGTCCATTTGTCCTCTTTTCAAAACTTTTTTATATTGCCTTCTTGGCTTTTATCTATTTTTTTTTAATTTGTTTCTTTTTTATTTTGGACTTTTGATGTCCTCTTTTCAAATTTGTATTTTTTTTTTGTTTTATTGGGACTTTCGTTGTCCTCTTTTCGTTATGTTTTTTTTTTTTTTTTTAATTTGCCCCGTGGGTCTTTTTTTTTAAATATATATGTTTAAATTTTGCCGTTATGGCTCTTTATAATTGTATCCCTCAACGGATTTTTATTGGTAGCTATTCTCCTCTCTTTTTGAAGAATAGCTACTTCTGCCTGTAGTGAGTCTCTTACCACTGGTGGGGGAAAACTCCTACTATTTTCTTTGTGTGGTCGCTAATTCGTTTCACTTTGACAAAAGTGAAGGCTCGATTGACCAATGAGTGAGAAGAGAAAACCAACCGAATGGTTTGGCTGTATTTTCAGTTCTATTTCAGATCCGGCTCGAAGGACCAATGAATGAGAAGAGAAAACCAACCGAAAGGTTAGGCTGTTGTTTCAATTCTGATTTTATTTTTAAAATGTGTTCCTTACGTACTACTAAAACTAATCTAACTTAACCTAGTCGCAGCCACACAATTGTTCTTATCTATTCTAATATTGAATGGAGAACATTGCAGGGCTGCTTGACATCTCATTCAAGTGGTCTTGTGCATCTACTGAGCGCATCGATATCTGTGCGTGTGGGTCATAACCTTTATTATCTCACACATTATCGTATGCGTCAGCGCACAAGATCGCCGAATTCTTCACATGTGATATTTTATGGCGGCTGGGAAATATTTAATTTTAGAACATTTATCTTTTATTGCCACATTTTCCCAGAGCATCGATCGCACTCAAAAGTATGTACAAAGTATTTTGTACACAGAATTGGCAGAAGTCGGGCACACTTAGAAAAAAAATTGTAATCAGCTGGGAGCTCTACCTTACCTTTTTATTGTACCATGCTACAGCCTATCCCCGAAAATTGTCTATGCGTTTTATAACACCCGTGGTAACTTCCTATATTCGGTATTCTGATGATTTTAGCTACATTATAAACCATTTTTTTTTTAAGTTTCGCATTTGAATATTGTAGTGGCTTATGACAAAAGTTGCCTATGCAGGTCCATGTCGTCATATAGACCCTAATATAATGGCTACATTCGGTATATTTAAGATTTTAACAGAATTTTTAACGGATTTTATTTTTTTTTGAAAATTTTTAAATTCGTTTCAAATGATGGAGGGCATTCGAAGTTCGCCCCAGCCGATCTTACAGCTTTTTTACTTGTTCAATAATAAATTCTAAAAGTCTGCATCTCTTGGTTTCTCGGTATTTTAGGTATAATCCATATACCTTGGGTTCACGGTGCTTTAGTGAAGCTCTTATGGAGTTCATATCTTTTGGGTACTTGGTGTCTCTGGTATAACCCATGAGTTCGTATCCCATGGGTACTCCGCGTTTTAGGTGTTACCTTTGAACAGTTTGTCTCCTTTGTGTTCTCCCCGATTTAGGTATAGCCCTTAAGGTGTTTGTATCTCTCGCGTTTTATTTATAACCCTTGAAGAGTTCGTATCTCTTGGTTTCCGCATGTTTTAAGAAGAGTTTGTATCTCCAGGGTTCATACCGGTTATTAAAATGCTGGGAACCTCCTTTGGGAGTCCGTTTCTTTTGGATCCCCAGGTATATTATGTATAAACCCTTTCAAATTATCTTGATTTTCATTGTGGATTTACAAGCTAGGCTAGATTGCCATCAACAGACCACCCGACTTCATAGACCCTGAACGTCACACTTTCCTTAACTACGGAAAAGCCATTTGACATGAATTCGGAGAATATACCAATCGTCGCTTCAGAAAACTTCCTAACACATCTGTTGTTCTAATAGTAATTGCGGGACATCAACAAAGCTGTAGCCTCTCGTTATATACTGGTTGAGTAGCTGAAATAAGACCAAACTTCCCAGCAGGGTTAGGTATTATTAGGGTCTGCCGTACTAAACCCAATAGTCCCAGAGTCAGGGAACTTGCTCTTAAGGTAAACAGGTTAGTTGGTGAGCATAAGCGGAAAAAGTGGCTAGAACATCTGAAGCATTAAAACATCAGTACCTCATGGAGTAAATTATAGACAACGTTAAAGTCGCTCTCGAACACTGAAAAGAAGGATGATCGGACATCTGTCCATTTAACGGCGTAGAAGTTACAGATACGAAGAGGGGCGCGAGTTATTTTGACCGGTAATTTATAGAACACCCTCCCCCTCAAATTGACAGGGCTAAGAAAGGTATTCTAAGACGTGTACGATCTCTCCCAGTACAGGAGGTACCACCACAATTTCATAAAATCGAAGCAAGTAGTGGGAAAAACTGCAATAAATTTCAGACTGCTGTCATTTCTAAGCCACTCGTCCGACAGCCGTCAAAACTATTCCAGTGACAGCTCATTATATTGTTTACAAGCGTATGAAAGCATTTTTGTGAGAACTTTCCAGAAAAAAGTTATTCCTGATGGAATTCAAGCGTGATGTCGTGATTTCTTTATATTTGACTGGAAAACCACAAATGGCTATCGTTAGAGCCCTCCAGCATTTAAAAGTGAATAAATATTTTGTGTCTCGTACCATCGTTTGTTACCGTGATACTGATAGCGTAGCCCGACGTCAAGGAAGGGGACGGAAGAAAATAGCAACATCAGCAGAAATCGTTCGAAAAGTAAAGAAGCGACTTGATCGAATCCCCCATCGCAGTAGCCGAAAAATGTCTCGTGAGCTGAACATATCGCAATGTTCAATTCGGCAAATATTGAAAAATGAACTCGGGCTAAAGCCATTGAAATTCCAAAAGGTGCAAGAACTTACACCGCAACAGAAAGGAAATAGACTCAAAAGAGATAAAGAGTTGCTCCGCTTGCCCGAAAGTGGTGAACTGCCGAATTTGGTTTTCTCCGATGAGAAAACATTCGTTGTCCAGCAGTTTGCAAACAAACAAATTTATCGTGTTTACTTGCCAAAGAGGTCAGCTAAAAATATGCACCTTCGGTTGGCCACCAGAACTCAAGCGCCGACAATGGTGATGGTGTGGGCTGCCATAACAGTCGATGGTCGCTCTCCGCTCGTATTAATCGACCGTGGCATCAGAATAAATGCCGAATATTATCGCGAAAATATTCTGGAGGGTGTATTAAAGCCTTGGACCACAAACGTTTTGGCCGCAGACCTTGAACATTCCAACAGGACTCAGCACCATTGCACTCAGCACGCGCCACCCAAGAATGGTTACAAAATGAGGTTCCTCGCTTCATTTCCAGCGCATAATGACCAACAAAATCTCCGGATACCAATCCGTTGGACTAATGTGTCTGGAGTATTTTGGAAAGCAAGGTTGGCATTAAAAAAATACCATAGTGTCGATCACCTCAAGCAAGCGCTTCGCCGGGAATGGGCCAAAATACCGCAGAGCAACATTCGGGCAGCGTGTGACGGTTTCATTGGCCGTTTGAAGGCCATAATTCATGCCAAAGGTGGCCAATTCGAACAAATCTAAACTTATTCTAAAATTTGATGCGATTTCCGAGATTTTTTGCTTTCCTTCAATGAAATTTAAAAAAAAAAATGTAAAAATTATGGCGTTTGATTTTGTTGCAGTTTTTTATCTCACCCTGTTTGAATTCCTGGCATTTAGGTAAGATTTAGACCCTTGATGTCTTCTTTTTTATTCCTCACTAATTTTTGCAAATTTCCTTACAAACCACCCGCCAATTCAAGCCAATATTCTACTTGGAAAAACTATTTTCGAACAATACATCGCATGGCTAGTAGCTAACTAACATCGGAAAACAAGCCTACTTATTGTATTTTTCCATTGAACCGAATCCCGAAGCGAATGATGCTCGAAACACTTTAACAACATAATATGCAGTGCAGTTGAATTGTTTTGTGGCCAGTTCATTCAATCAAATTGTAAATCAATCAGTTTTGAATTTCGATTTTTTTTTGGAATAAAGCTTATTGT